TCCTGTATTATCTTCAACTTCCTCGCTAAACCGATCTCAAAGGTTTTGAAGTTGGAACAACAAAATAATTACTCTAAAATCAAGGCTGGTCCTGGGGAGCTTTGGTAATTGTCATAAAAAGGGTTGCAGCTTGTTGCAAATTTACGGGTAAAGGTCATAATTTGCATTCTCGAGTAATAGGCTTCATGCACGCTTTTATCAATTTATCTTTTTTTCCTTTCAAAGAATTTTTTTTCTCTATTTCCCTAATCTAAAGGGGATAAATTGTACACCAAAAATACGCAAAAGGTATAGGTCGGCGTGCTTGTTCAAGAGCTAAAGACAATCGTTCCTCTTTATCTCGTCCATTGATCGAAGAACAATATCGTGTTCTCGGAATATATGAAATGCGCGCGCGCCTATTTTCCTGATCACGTAATGTGAACGCAAGAATGTACAAATAAGCACGAAATGATAAACTTGGAAACGTAGAAAATGTCAGCACTCAGACATAAGTCGTTACAATTTGCAACCAGCTTTCTATAAATGAAAAAGCTTACAGCCACGACATTGAAATTACCTAATCCCAAAACAGAACGATTAAAAAACTCTACCGATGCATCGAAACTGACCAATCACAGCTGACAACGTTTCTTGAGTCTTGCAGGCAATAACAATAATTTTCTCGAATCAGATTTTAATCTTAACAAATTACGACTCTTTTTATAATGATGATTTCTGCTCAGGCTGTACAAAAGCAAATTTCAGCTACCCTCTCGTGGACAATCGTGCTACATGGGTTCGAGCCAGAGAAATAACAGAGATTCTGAAAATTCCCAAATCGCTTATAGCCGAAAATGTTTTTTTATTGGTTTTCATCCTAGCTCAATGCCGACCTGAGGAAGTTAGCAGTAAACATGGTCCCATTCACTCGCCTGCATTTCCTCATCTCAGGCTTTGCACCGCTGACCAGCCGAAACACTCAGCAATACTGTGTCCGAGTTAACCCATCAGATGTTCGCCTCATCTTGCGGCCTGTCTCTCCCCTCCCCCTTCCCCACTACGCTCAGGCCATTTTTCTTTTTAGGAGACTGCTCGTGCCATCGTGCGCGGGCCGAGCGGGCGCTGGGCCACGACTTTCGTCTCATACGATCCTGGCACTGGTCAATAAATGCTTTGAAACGGCTGATAAATAAAACTTCGACATTTAAATGAAAAAGTCAACTTTCATTGATCTAGTTTGGCGTGTAAAAACTGAAGCACGTTTCATTTGTAAAGTGTCAACTGAAAAATAATTGGGGCAGAATTCAAGCAAGACAGTAAAAAAGTAAACGAAACTAGATGAAAAGCACTTCAACGACGAATTCGCGTGCAAAATCCAAAGCTAAGGAGGTTGGCGTAGATTTTCGAAAGGGATCGACAAGTGACGTCATATTCGTCTAGATTTTAGAAATCGTACCAAGAAAATCATCACCCGGCGGTCGGAATGGTAAAAGAGCATTAAAATTTAGCCGTTAGGCGTAAAAAAAGGTTAACCATGAAAGTTTTTCTTATCTATAGGATGTGTCATCTTGAACGTGTCAAAATCTTAGACTATTATGTGTTCTTTCTTCTGGCCAAAGCGGGAAAATAGAAAGTAACTCTTTATCAATCCAACAGGACCGCCCCGTCACTAGCTGGCATCAGGCTTGAAAATACAAAAAGATCTGTTCATATGACGTAATCTGTATAAAAAATACACATAAGGTTCAACCCCCGTTGGAAAAATAAGATTTCCATATAACCCCGTGTGATAACGCGATTAGCTAAGGTTGGTATTGCGAGAGACATTGATACCATGATGATGGCCGGCTAGTATTATGTTATTGTCTTCTGCTAAAATATCTTCGGGATGATATACTATGGCCGAGATTTTTGTCTGAGTACATGGAGTTATAAACATAATTCAAAATGGCGTCTGTCGCCGTAGGTCGTATGCTTGTTTTTCATTCTTTTCGTTCCATCCTCGATCCAATACACCCGTGTAGACCTTACAAACGACGAGGAAATATGTGAAAGAATCCTCAATTGGAAAAAAAGGGCTTCAAAGTATTGAAATCGACTTGAGTTGACCACAGTCCCAAAGATAGATATGGAAATATTTTGTCGGACCGTTCTCTTAAATCATCAAGGTGGTTTTTTTCTTCTTTTCGCTCCGTTCTTGATCAAAATACAAATTTGTACGAAAAGAAAACGTACACAAGAATACTCAACTGGAAAGAAACGGATTTCAAAGTCTTAAAATCGAAGATGACAACAGTTCCTACGATAGATATGGAAATAATTTGATGCGCCGCGTGAACTACTTTAATTCTTGTTCAAGTTGATTTTTGAGTGTCTAATTGCTTGCCATATGACTGTATGTTACACATATTTTGGCAATTGGTTTACGATTTCACTTGATTTGACTTCTACAAGCGATTTCATTCTTTCCTCAAAGAATTTCATCAAACTCTTAAATATTTCATTCTTTCCTCAAGTCGCCTATCTGATTTGGCCATATTTTACGCGTTTAGCCACTTATCTACCACTTTCTAAGGTTTTTGCAGAATTCATTTGACACGACCTTTTTTTTTTGTCACGCGATCACCTTGTGAGCTATTTCGCTCCTGGGGCGCGAATCTTTGTTTTTCATTCCCTTTGCGGCTTTGCAACCCGCTCAAGCGCTCCCCAACAAAACCGTCCGTTTTGCAAAGTAGTCATACGACCTCGGTTATAAAATCGCCTACTTATTAATCAACATGTTCTCAAGCAAGCTCGAGTTAACGCTTCAATAGTATCTAGTTACAATAACATGGGCAAACCTTATGCGAATAAATATATTTTTGATTTCAGACAAACATTTGACACGAGTTATGCTGTTGTATAAAGTTGTTCATCAGCTATGAAACTTCAATAAAACTTCCCATTATGGCCTAGAAGACTACAACCTTAGAAAAATGTTTGTTTTATATTCCTCAAAAAATCCAATTTTTAACTGACCTACAAACTACATGTTGGCATCATTTTAGCGCCTCTTGACGTTGATTTGTTGCCTCTAGAAGTTGTTCCAACTGTTCTTTTGAATACTGTTGAGCCACTATTTTAAATTTACTGTCAAACTGGCTGAGTGGATGATCTGGCTGAGTGACTGATTTAACTGACTGAATGGCAGACAGAGAGACAGACAGAGACAAACTAAGCTAAACTAACTGGCTGACTGATGGACAGACTGGTTGACCGAATGACTGGTTTACCTGGGTGACTGACGGACAGACCAAGTGACTGAATGACTGGATATCTGTCTGACTTACGGACTAAGGGGACAAATTTTTAAAGAAACTGTGGTGCAGCGTCGGTAGGAGAGTATAACCGGGTAAGTTAGTATTATCAACTGAGTTGATAACGTAGATTAGCCACTGTAAACGAGTTACAAAGCTGACGTTTCAAGCGTTAGCCCTTCGTCAGAGCGAAGTGACTGGTTTAGCTGGCTATTGTCGAGGCTCTCTAAAAATACGGAAAATTGTTGGTAACTAACATCGTGTGCAGGAGAATGAAGTTAGATAACTTACATGAGCTCAAAGAAGACTCCAATTCTGTAACTGCTCGTCTCGTCGCCCTCGTACAACCATGCCATCCAAAACGGTCAAACAAGACCAACCAACATTTTAGCTTTGGCTACCAGGCATTAGGACTGTTGAAGAAATGTTAGGCAACCATTCTGCCCGCCTAGAATGTACTGTACGGTAAGTAACTTGAAAATAGGCGGTTAGCGAAATTTTGCAAGGTCCGCGTGGTTGAAACCTATCAAACCTAAAATGAATATTAAATGAGGACAAAACCTATTTGCAATGCAGATCTTACACTCCGCGAGCCTTTTTGTCATTAGGGAGTTAAAGCTGTCAGAGCCTGAGAGACGAATTTTTTCCATAAGTATTTAGCGCGGGTCAATTTTCTATTCTTCATGGTTAGAACTGGTACGCGCGTTGATTGGTCACTTTAGCAGGCCGTATTTCTTTGTACAGCCCGCAAACCCAGAGATATCATAAATATCTTATCAACCTCATTTTTTCGGTCAGCACTGTAAGTTACGGAACCTCGTCTTTTCTGCTCGGATTTATGGCCCGCACGCTTCACGCAGGGGCTATAAATCCTAAAGAATAAATAATACGTCAGTATTTAGCGAGTAGGTCAATGTGTTCAACGTCTCTCATGGCGGCAGATCTGTCCTTAGCATAACATGTGATCACAGTGTTGAGCTGTTTGTCTTCGGAGCTTCGGGTAAGATATCCGCAAATTTATATTCGAAATTTTTAGTTTCGCTACGTTCTCGTTGCAATCGCCGTTTTGGTTTGCATTTTGCTGGTGAGGATTGCTGATAAGCAGAAGAAGCGCCAGGTAAGGGCGGCATGCATGAGGCAAGCACGAGACTAGTACATGGTACGCGCGGGGTCAGCCCGAGGAGAGCGCGGGACGGGGGTGAGACGCACGAGTGGAGAGGTGAAGACGTGGAAAACAATCGCTTAATAGTCTTCACGCATAATTGCGTCATTTCCAGGAAATTCAGATTTTCTAAAGCTAGAATTGCTCTGGATATGTAAGATTTAGCTAAAGCTTCTACCATAAGTATAGGGATTTGAGGGGATACCTAAAGGAATCAAGTTCCCTTCGCAAGCCCCAGATTTCTTCAAGACTCAGGCAACCGGCGTAAACAGGACTAGAGCGCGATGTGCAAGGGGGGCCATCACCCAATTCGTAGATCAGGAACAATCAATCGAGCAGTCTCCCCTTCTCGGCGATATCCATTGCGCGAGTCAAAAGAAAATCAGCGGGGGGAAAAAAAAAGAAAAGAAAATAAAAAAAGAACTGATGTTGGCCGATTCACTCCTAAGGTTCTGAGCAGCGCGCCGACATTGTTTTCCCGCCGAATTGTGTTTTCACTCGCGCGACGGAATTCGCCGAAAAAAACTTCTCGTAGTCTAAACACTCAGTGAACACGAAAATTGTTTTCAAACTATTCTTTTAATTCGCGCAATTTATTCACAATACTTTAAATATTATGAAAGTTGTTCGCAGCAAACGATTTGTTGAACAGGTCTACAGTGGGCAGTAAAATTCAGTGAAAAACGAGATGAATTGGAGGTGGACATGATGGCACGGGGGGAACAGACCAAACTAAATCGAATACGAGGAAACGGTTTAGAAAAATTTACAATCGATTACATCAATGCTGTGGCTATTTACAAGGCTATAAATAAGCTAAATTTTTTTGTTATGATAAATTTTGCAACAAAGTAATGATAGTCTTGGTCCTTTTCCGAATAACCAAAGGTAATGATTTCGAAACTTGATGTTATCAACAGATTGCTGTGGAAAATTTCATTTACAACAATTAAGATAATGTTCAAATCAATGTGCCAATTTCTCACCACAAATTACATTGATTGACGAACTTTTAGTGAGAATATGACTGTTTTAACTCAGCGCAAATTCTCCAACTTGAAATGCAACAGGCTCCAAAAAGAATCTGTGAACAGATCCGAGTGAACGAAGTTGCACTGTTGCTAAGTGAAAAAATACCGTTCCTTGGTGAAGTCGCAAACGACATTTTGATAATTCATTTCAACAGCTTGAAACCAAACTACACTCAGTTACTCTCTATGAGGCCATTTTCATCGTGTATTGCTTCGTTCTGATTAGTCTTAACTACCCAAATTATATCTCTAGCCCTGTGTTTCTTTAAAAAGGTCGTAACTGTTCTTTGTTTTGGTAAGTAAATCAAGGTAATTAGATATTCAGTATATCATAAGAACAGTCAGCAGTTATAATCTTATCCAGTTGGCAAACTTGCCTCTACTTCACGCAAAATTCTCGATATACTCGAGGCCGCTTAAACTACGTCGAGCAGCTTTCTAATTGGTAGAAGGAAATCGGAAATAGATAGAATCTTCCGAAAACGACCGAGTTTTAATTAATTATTAAATTAGGCACCTTTCGGAAGTGGAAAACGGTTGAAACTCTGCCAAAAACTAACGCCGCTGGTTGAGATTTGCGACGACACTTGAAATACACAAGTTATCCTGCGTGGCTGACAGAGGTTAACTTCTCTCGAATAATAATGGCAAACAGTTTTATAAAAACAGCCTTACCCGGTAACACGGGCCTTGGATTTGGTCTGAAAAATTGCGACAAAAATATGCTCATCAATATTCCGTCTTTAGCTGGAGCAAGTTAAATTTAGATTTTTTCCTATCTTGAATATGTGATTTTAAACCTGAGCCGTAGATCCCGTTTCAATATCCACGACGTTGTCATCGGTTTGCATGTCTTCGGGCGCACTTTCGTCGTCCGAACACAAATCGATTGTCGTGACTGGGCGCACCGAGTCACTGTTGCCCTGGCAATTGACAGTACTTTCCGCTGGCTCTTGTTCCTGCGGTTGCGTGGTCTCCGTGCCTTCAACATCTACTATTGAGACCGGAGGTGTCGGGGAGGTCGGCGTGGTACCGTCCACGTCAACATTCTCTGATTCGGGTGACGCCCCGGGTGGGGTCCCCACTGCTGAATTAGTAGAAGAACCCCCACCCCCTCCGACACACATCCGACAGTTGTAAGAATCAATAGCTTTTGCACGCTCCGGGCTTATCTCCACGCACGCGAAATGATACCACTTCTCACAGACGTCGCACTGCACCCATCCCACTTGATCCCCCTGGGGTCGTGTGCACGTCCCGGCTGCGCATATCTCATCATCATCGTCATCGTCTTCATCGTCTTCTTCGACATCAACCATCTTTTCTTGTTTCACTTTGACAATTTTTTCTTTGTCTTTGCGGCGACGTTTCTTTGGTGTTTCTGCTGTGGCAGGGGCAGAGTTTGTTGAACTGGCATTTGATCCTCGTCTCACTGGTTTCTCTTTTTCTTCATTGTCTTTTTTCTTGCGCTTCCGTTTGACTTTCTCTTTGACGGATTTTGTCTCGAAAAGCTGCCAACAAAAGCAAGATTGCTCATTACAAAGTAAAATTTCAAATTAAAACCCTATTTTGCAATCTGTCAAATAGAGGTTACAGAACGGAAACATAGTTTCTAAGTGAAATTATGTTATCTTTCGAAACGTGGTCACTGCTAATTAACAGACCGTCGGGCTTACTTCCTTGAATAGCAAATGATAAAATTCAAAATGATTGCTGTCGCATGAGGACAATTTCTGATGTGTTCGGAATATCTCAGGGACATTTTCAGAATTCTATCCGTTTGGTTCTCAACTACCCTTTAAACCCTGAGTGACCAGCATCTAATTTCTCCTTACAGTAATACTGCCGTATCATTCATTAAGATCATGAGAATAAAGGAAATGATCACCAACCTAAGGAGAATTGATTATAAAACGAATTCTCCTTGTCAGTACTAAACGAATTGTAGGGAGAGGGGTCGGGAGAATATGAATACTGATGTGAAGGTGTAAAGGGCTAAGTTGTGCACAGTCGTGGTTCATTTACATTTATAGTTTTATATTGCTTTGGTAAAAAAAAAAAAAAAAATTCCAAATTTCAATTCTTGCAGGTCGTATTCCTTACGAGCGCAAGAATATAAGATTTCCTTTTTTTAACTTCCTCCCCTGGCCCATCTGACAAACCGTTGATAACGATAATTGAAATAAGGTTTTTCCCCCAAATAATAACACTCTTTTTGAGAATTTCTTTGGAGCTGCTCACCTGTGTTTCTTGTTCCTCTTGGCTTTTCTGACTGAGCAGTATTTTCCACAGCTGTTCCGTTTCGTCAAGCGACACTTCCAAAAGATCCCCCTCCATCATCATCGTTTCGGCTTGCCGTCGTATCTCCTCCGATAAAGTCGGCCTAACTTCGGCCTGCGGACTGTTGTTTGCATCGTCCGTGACAGACACCTCACCCGAGGCAGATTTGTCGGCGTTTTCCGGTTCGGGTCCCACTTGAGCAAGACGAAGTAACGCAGCCGACGCAGACAAGTTCTCTGCACTCACTCCTTGCGGCCAGGCCGCAGATGTTCTACTGAGAAACGCGAGTAGACTCACAACATCTTCGTCTGTCAGAAAATTTCTGGCTCGATCCTGCCAGTTCATTGCTCTTTCAGTGAGAAATTGTAGCGCCTCTCCCTCAGGGAGCCGGACAGGAAGCTTCTGTAGCGATACTAACAACGACAAGATCGTTTCCAGGCGGGGTCGCCTCGACCTTGAGCAGAGCGGGCACAGATACTTGAGCTCCTTTGCCGCTTCCAGCGCAGCGGAGCCTTTGCCCATGGATTTACCACCCTGGGTACGCGGAAGGGGAACACAAGAGCCATGATACCACTCCTTACAGAGCTCACACTGTAGCATAAACCCGTCGGGTCCCCGCCGGCATGTACAGTACTGTCCGTCCATGCTTTCTCCAAGCTGTCTTCTCTTATCTTCTTCTTTCTGTCTTGCCATGTTAACTTGTCGTAATTGCCGCATGCTTTGCATCTCTTTTATTTCCGCCTCTCGGAACTCAGCGATCTGTAGAGCAGGATCCCTTCCAATGTACTCGTCCAATGCCACCAGTTCAATTATAACCTCCCGTTCTTTTTCGGTTTTGTCTTTCTCGGCTTTGTCTCTTTTTTTGTTACCACGAGTTTTGAGACAAGCTTTGTATGATCCAACGTCTTTCCGGGGTGATAAGATCTGAACAGTGAAATACAAATTGAAACAAGCAGTTGAGACAAGACATCTCTATATTATGCATTTATGGAAGATATTTTTGGTTCGTAAAGTACACATCTTCGAGTACAAAGAATTTTTCAAACCACAATATTCATTTCACAGACTCAAGGTTAACATTCAAATTACCTGTGGGTTACCGAGGACTTGCTCCAAAGCTGAAAATTTTTCAATCGATCCCACAAAGCGCAGTTTTATGTACAAAATAATTTTTCAAATTTTATCCCAAACCATGACTTTCATTTTACAGACTCAAAGTTATAATTCAAATTACCCAGTGGGTTACCGAGAACTCGCTCCAAAACTGAAAATTTTTCGATCAATGCAACAAAGCGCAGTTCAGTTTACATGAGATTTTAAAACTCATTGCCATTCTGAAGGAAAGCTCTAAACTTCAAACTATTTTTTAAAAATGTTTCAGAGTCTGCGCAAACCATAAGATCAAAACGATAGTGAACACACGTTAAGTGATATCTCTAACCTCCAACAGAGTAGCTGAAGAATTCTTTTTGAGAAACGTCCTTGCAGCACGGTCCCTCCAGGCGCGCGCTGCAGCTACTTGGGACTCCATCTGCGGGAGCTGTTCCAGACGCACGGGAATGGGCCTACCTCTCATGACCAGGGCCTCCAGGACATCAAGGTAAGGATAATAGTCATCATTCTGTGATTAACAAAGAACTCAGCTTAGCGCCTGAAAGTGCTTGTTAATCATAACATAGTAAGGCGAGTTTGTGTTGAGGCCAACTCAGTCAAACCGCCAGAATTTGTCCCTAACGCCAAGCAACCAGGAACACTGACTCTTCCTCGAAGAGAAATTTAAGTCTCGCGCAGGGTAGCCATCTACAACCACCCTCCCCTCCCCTCCCCTTCGCCCACAATTCAACGCAATAACACTAGTTGATAAAAGAAGGCATTGTGGAAATAAGGGTAAACACCAAAAACACAACACTTTGGCTCAAACCTGGACAACTTGATTTACAATTCAGTTTACAACCCACTTAGACCATGAGCAGTCTTTGCCTTTCGGCGAAGTTCGTCCTACGAGTCAAAAACCAAATTAATTGATGATAGCAAGCCCCGGGGGAACTCTGCGAGTGAGGCGCACTTCCAGAGTTCCGCTCAGAACCTTAATTTTTCTCCAATCGCGCGGCTGACTTAGCCGAAAAGTAGGAAGTGCTCGTAGTCTACAAACCACTCTTACTCGTTGTCCGCAACACGGTTTGATCTTTCAATTCTAATACCCTTAAACGGAGCTCGACATTTTCACTGCCACCATACCTGCACTTGATCAACCTTGTCAGACCATTCACGTGCTTTACGTAGTGCTTCTTTGAGCGCACTCACGTTTGGAAGATACAGCGGAACACGTGACGCTTCTTTTACTATTGCTTCCACTGTAGTCATCACGTGACGGGGCCTATAAAAAAAAAGAGTAGTGCATTTAACATGAGGTGCTTGACAAATATACATCACTAATGTGACGAACTGTGTGTGTGACAGCTGAATATAATTTTAGGACCTTCATGGGCCAGAGAGCAGTGCGTGACACTGCAGCTTATCGGGTGCGTTATTTGTTTTGATTATCACACAATATTGGCTGGCAGAATCTGGTCATTAATATACTGGATAAACAGTAAAAGTATGAGTTGAACGCTGTTTGTTCTTACCTGGCTTGAAGACAAAGTTTTGCCTTTTCTTCCCATCGTTCACCAAGAGCGACCAGACCACGAAGCTCGCTAACGGCTTTCTCAATAGCTAGGCAAAAAAAATGCCAATAAATGTTAACATTCTAGGTTTCTGTAATTCTGAAAATTTTAATCATAAAAACGCATTCAATTACAACGTATCAGTCGCTACATAGGTTACGGAAAGTTCACGAACATACCAGCTTTTTGCGGAAGTGTGTTTCCAGTCTCAAGTAGCTCTTGAAGTGTATCGAACGAAACATCTTCAGTGTTCGCTAGGGTAATGTTGACTTGTTCCAACCACTTGGCAAGTCGTAACTCCTAGAGAACAGAAGTAACCTTCATGGTCAAAGAACTCACAAGAAACAACATCGTATATGACGGCAAACCATTATGGAGCCACGCAGAATCAAGTCAAACCTGTTTGAGTTTTGGAATCTCTGGTAAGTCAACATCTAGTGTGTTTCCATTGTCCAGGAGTTGTTGAAGTCTTGTTGCATCGGTTGTGCCACTTTGAATAACCTTCTGGGCTTCACACTGGAAACTCTCCACATGTGTCATAAGTTCCTGAAGAATTGTAAAAAATCACACCATCAATGAGGTACCAACCATTCAAACTTGACGTCCTACAGATAGGTGCCACACCACTTAAAAAGTGTTAGGTTACATTACTCAAAGATTATAAAATCCATGAGTGACATCATCTAACTCTTTGAGTCTAATTATTATCGCGTTGAGCAACGGATTAAGAGTTTTAACTCTTTAAGAAATCTCCACAGGTGGCACAGATGATCATTTAATTATCATAATATTCAATTAAGTTAAAACTTGGTGGCATAAATGGGGATTAAGTCATTAGTGTGCGAAAAAAAAATCGATACAGAGCAAGGGTATTTGGAAGCTAGAACTTTGAGCTCTCCGCCATGTTGGGTCGTGAGACGCGTTACGGTTACCAACTGTAAAATGTCTACGATCCAAAATGGTGCCTACCAGCAAATTCTTTCATCCATATTTCTCATTTTTTATTCTAGTTTTTATTCATTTTGGTTGTTATTTCCCAATTTTCCTCGGTTTGACGACACCTAGGTATAGTACAGAGTGCGCCACTTACTTGTACAAGATCTGCTTCTCTTACTACACAAGGTAAGTTCTGTAGTTGCTGCATGAAGCCTTGAAGTTCATCAAGACTTAAACGAGTGGCTGCCACGGTATCTGCGCCACCGTGGGGTCTGTTAACATAACAATACATATTTTAAAGCTTGCTTTGATGAAATACTTAGGCCAAATTTGAAGGCTACAATTGGTAGTCATTAGCATACAACTCAAAGGTCGCTAGCCTGTAGTGCACGCGTCTTATTCGGGCGACTTAACGTTACAGGTTCGCAATCGTTTATTCGACCGACTATGTTTGAGTTAGAGTGGACGGTGGGGGAGGGGTGCGGGAAAAGGCAAGAAAATAATTTGTTTATTGCCCCACCCCACACCCACCCCCTCCCCTCTCCTTCCTTTTTTCCCGTCGTTCACCCCTTGGTAAAAATTTCTCGCTGTTCCCGAACTCACACTGCTATAAAAATAAAAGATGGCAGTTAAAATTTTCACCAAGAAAAGACTGGGAACTCAGTTGCCAAAATTGGTTACTGGGTGATCATAGCAGGCATGATTAACCTCTCAATATTTTCCCCCTTTCTGAATCTCTCCATCACTTCTACAACTTAAAATTGCAAAACTGAAGTTGTGGTTACAGTCGTTATTTACCTTGTCCTATGTTTCCTGCTCACTAACTGCACAGCAACGCTGGCACATCGTTCAGCTTCAGTGACAGCAGCCTTCAGCTGTTGGAACAGGTCACAATCCGGAAACTGGCTCTGTTCCGCAGTGTTCACCAGTTCCTTAAGTTCTGATACATCTGTGAATAAGCATCGGGAACGAGAGTTATCACAGCCTTTACAGATATGACTTGAGGGAAAAAGTCAGTGCCTTGACGAGTCTTTGTTTCATCAATATTCAGAAAAATGTTTCAATCGAGCAAAAAAAGTTAGCAGAGAAGTAGGAAGAGAAAGGTTCTCTAACCATCCGATATACTCAAGAGGTTCTCATGCAAAGAGTGGGGTCAAGCTGACCGCGTGTTACTGGGTAGTATATCAGGTTCATGGCTGTTTCGATTATTCTACGTCTTGTAACGTAAAGCAGTAACCCCAGTAGCAGTAACAAATAATACGAGCGGACAATTTGCTCACGGTTCGCATTTTTCCGGAGCCACGTGTGCAATTCGCAAAAAATACACCGGTATCGTATATTTAACTATCGAATAAGGAGTGTTTATTAACATGGAGATATTCGATTCGTCACAGACATACCAACTTTAGGATCTGATGGATCTAGAGACCTCTTTACTTCAGTTGCCCAGTTATCAAAGGAATCAGCTCTCTTCTTTAGACGCAGAAGCATTGATGGCAATTCTTGCAGAGTGTATCGATATCTGTTGAGAGTGCAGATCACCATGAGTATGATCAGTTGGTAAATTGCAGTTTGGAAAACACTCATGGACTTTGAAATCCATGAACCTTTCAACGCCCAGAATTGGTTAGCATAAAACCTCTCCCTAAAAATCCATACGGTATCTAGCAACCAGGTGATGAAAATACTCAAACTTATCAGATAGAAGTTTCTATTTCGATCTAACACCATTTTCTTGACACTCATTAACAAGGAAATGTGTAGCACCTCGAGGGGAGAATTGAGAATTAGATCTTGGGAGTTTAAGGGGTACAGTTGAAGTGGAGATTTCAAAGCAAACCTTAAGCTCTTGTCGGAAGGTTCACAGGGGCAGATGTCTGTGATACAGTCAAGACAGACGAGTTTCCCTGAAACAAGGAGAACGAAAACATTACTTCTCTATCATGAAAGCCATGCAAAACTTGATACATACTATATCATCAAGTAACGTAATGATCTTAGCAAGTGGGGTGTAGTTTAAAAAACTGTAGAAAAGATGCGTGGAAAAAAATTCTAGCAACGCCGAAATTCGAACCCATGCCTCCCAGTTACTAGTTGGACGCTACTGCCAGCTGAGCAATGAACCTCACTTTGGGAACGAGGCACTACTTTCCCCTGTAGGAATCTGGTCAAAATTTGTAACAAAACGTTCTTGAAGATGAAACGAATGTGCTACAATTGTAACAACTTACCCAGACTACAATGGCACTGCACTGCAGACAGGAAACAGGTTGTTTTGCACACACCACATTGTCGTTCATCGTCTGGCAACAACTCAAATGCTTCACCTCGCTCAAACTCCGAGATGCCCTGTCAAGAAAAAGTTTCAAGAAGAAAAAAAAAATGAAGTCTAAGGTGATCATATGACAGCTAGTTAACATTTTAACTACCACGAGTGACCAAAACACAATTTCTTTTCACAATATCAACACTAAATCAAGCAGACAAGTGATGAGAATAAAGAAAAGTATCAATAATTGGATTATTACTTAATCCAAAGCCAAATTCTCAGAACTAACATCATAAGAATTGTGTGGCAAATAATAACGAGAATTACTGATAAGAATCTACCATTTTAGCCAGCCTATGCCGCCTGTTTGCTTCCTTCTCCACAACAGCCACCATCTCATCATAGACTGCCTTGGCTAAGTCCAAATCTAAACCATCAGGATCAGCAGCCATCTTACAAACTAACTCCTCATGAGAAAATACTGGGTTTCTGCTCATCTCACGATAGTGTTGAATACACTTGCGTCCAATCGGGAGCTGTAAAGTGAGGAAAAAAAAAACATAAGCTGAGAACAAATACCAATCAAAATGAAGGACTTAAGGTTAACAGTATGAAAGTTACTCACTTTGAAACTAAAGAGAATTTTTTTGTGTATTCTGCCCCAAAATTTCCTCTTGGGTTGAGATTTATTACAATTTCACATGAAGTCTTAAGATTTTCCTGGTCTTCCTTGTGTGCACAATGGTTTCCATAAAGAAATGAATTGGCAATTATAGTAGAGGTTAAGAGTTTATTCACTTAGTGAAAACTAACCCAGGCTGTCAAAATTTAGCTGCAGCAGGCTTTGAAGAGGCTAGAGAACTCACAAATCTGCAAAGGCTTCCAGGCTTTCTATTTCATAATTCCACCATCTCGTGGCATCACAAAAATTACAGCCACAAACTTATTACTTATTACTTATTTAACCCCTAAGATTAAGAGGCTTCTAATTTTCCTTAAAGCATCACCTTTGAATCCAATGTAAAGGTCATGGGAATAAAGGAAATAACCATACATTTAAGAAGGTCCAGATTATCAAACAAATTCTCCTTGTCATTACCATAGGAAATATAGAGAGAACAGTGTGGAGAATTTAAAAACTAATCTTAGGGTGTAAAGGATTAAGAGACATAGAGGAGATTTGCAGTGTTCAGAGAATAAACTGGAATGTTCTCCTTCACTATTTTGTCAAATACACACTTCAAACCATTGGTTTGCTGATAGTAATAGAAACACATTCAGGGAGCAGCACAATTACAACAAAAATATCATCAATACTTACCCAATCTGCTGTGGCAAAATTGACAGCTTCAGCTAAATTCAGGCCATTGTTGAATCCAGCATGGTACGCTCTGGGGAATGTGATTACAAACTCCCCTGCATATTGATTAGTTCTCACCACAGGTACACCCTTCGCAGTAAGTGCATTGGGATTAATAATGGTAACGAGTTGGTGAAGAAGGTCAGGTTGAGCTTCAAAGAGCTCAGGAGCTGCTTCCTTCATAGAGCGTTCAAAATCTTCAGCATTATCACCTGGTACACCATACCATGTTTTGGGCTCACCCCTTAAAAACAAACAAACAACCAAGCAAACAATTAAAATCTCACTTATCACCCAGAAGTAAGTGAAAAGAGTTTAAAGGAATCACACTGAACTTGTGAAAGCCAAAATATTTTTCTTAGTAAAACAACAAATGCTCCATTAGGTTTTCAAAATTATCAACTTAATAAAAATTTACAAATTAGATGGTCAAAGATCTTTAGTTAAAATTATCTTTATTTCACATCTACAACAATGTCAGAATGTTATCTTGCTCTTGGTGTTACCTTTGTGAATTAAATAAAAACAAAAGGAAAAAGGATTACAGTGAACATTTATTTTGCTCCTGCCATAATAAGAAAAAAACAACATTCTAACCAGTGCATGTAGTTGATTGAATAACTCCAGTGATCTTCATTGTGCCAACAGAAACTGCTGAAACACATGCCAACATATATCCAAGGAACCTGTAGGAAACACAATGGAAAGAAATGACAATCAAACTATTGATTACAAAAAATTAAATAGTGTAAAAAAAATTTCTATGGTATCAACTCTTTCACTTCCAATATCAAAATATCAATTCTCAGTACTGTACTACATACATTGATTACAATTCAATAATCCTGTGCTGATTAAGACACAATGTAAATAAAAAAATAATGCATCAAAATAATAATAATAATAATAATAATAATAATGATAAAAAGAAGATCAGCAATGGCAAGCCAGAAGTTCTAGCTGCCAGGAAGTTGATCAGATGGATCTAACTTCTACACTTAACAAACTTCAGCATAACATTTTCAGACAATGTATATGTAAATGCAAGCCAAATATTTTGTTTTTATAAGATTTAGTTGTCAATAACAAACCTTCATTCCTGATATATCAGCACTGATGTGGGACAACACTGATCTTTCCAGATTTGCAAGGTTATTGAGGTTCCAACCAGATTTGGCATAAAACTGAAAAACATCCACACAAAGATATAAGCAAATGAATAAAATCAATGCCCTCAGCAAAGAAACCTTTAAACTCTATGATACTACTAATGTTGCTTTACCAGCTGAGTTAATAATTTACATTGACTGTTGTGAGGAGTTTCTAAAGCTGGCATTTCAAGTTTCAGCCCTTTGCCTTTTGTTCAGGGCTAATGCTTGAAACGTCAGCTTGGCAAATCTTTATGGTAGCCAATTTATATTTTCAACTCATTTGATGAAATCAAATAACTGTGTAATACCCCCTCCCACCAAAGCAGCACTACAGATTCCCTTAAACAACCAAAGAAATCATACATGGCATCAACAGAACCACATAACATAATAGAAACTCTTCCAAACTAAAACTAGCTATCAATTAGGCAACTTCAATCATACTTACCTGAATTACATGTATGTTTATCCCATGAAAACAAAGCAGTTACAGTTCATAACTTGCCTTTACATGTCCTTTAATTTATACCCAAGGTAACAATAAATCTAAAACACACAAGCACCCTGGCTAAATACAAGCATGCACAGAGTACACACTGTTCTTGTGAATAACTTGAACCATGCTGTATAAATATTTCCAGAGCACTTTTAAGGATGATAATATGAGAAAAAATTGAAGCCCTTACTTCCTCTTCATTGGTGACAGCATTAAATTTGGTTGGGAATCCACTGCCATGCGTTGCTGTATGCAGATCAGCCCCATATTCAACTGTCACCTAGAGATATAATCAGGCAAACTGATAAATCTACAGTGGTGAAGATTTGAGCATTTTTCTGTGGTGTTTCTTTGATGCTACTAGAGATTGGTTGATGTCAAGATAAAATGAATCTAAAGAACATTTATTGTTTAGATGAACTAACTTACATCTTCATCCATTGTCGATACTAGCCTCCAGAACTCTTTCTCTACCACTTCAGTAGGTACTTGCTGAAAAAAATGCAAGAAAAAAAATTAAAAATTTACAACCTGCTTCATTTAGTAAAATGAAACAAAATGCAGTAGTCTACACTTGGTATAATATAACACAGCCTTCAATGCATGTCCCTTCTGAAACTTTCATTTCTCATGATAATTGGTGAAAATTTCCCCATATTATCATAGGCCACAAGATATTCATAGACAGTTGATCATGCCTTGGTAGGAAGGTTACATCTCAGACAACACAGATTACAAGTTTTTCTATGTATCATGCAAAAATGTGCACATTACTATCCAGCATTTCTAGGAAGGGGAAACAGAAGAAATACCTCGGGTGGGAGTTTAAAGTACTCTTTCTTGAAATTATCTGCCATTTCTCCAAATGATTGCAATGTGTACTCTCTTTTAGCTTGCTCAAAGCCAAAGGCCTCCTGTGGCTTCTTGCACTCCTAGAGACAAGAAAGATTTAACAAAATTACTTCGAATAATCAAATAGTTGTAAAAAAAATACATATATTTAGAAAATTATTCTGTAAGCCAAGCTGGTCAATCAATTGAGATGTCAGCCAAGAAGACAGTCAGCCAGTCAGATGAATGAGCCCTTAAGTCAATCAGTCTGCTAGTAAGTCAGTCTGTCTGTCACCTGGCCTGCTAAATCAGTTATTCAGTCAGTCAGTCAGTCTGTTGGTCAGTCTGTTGGTCAGTCAATCAGTCAGTCTATCTATCTCTCGGCCAACCAGCCAGCTAAACCAGACATTCAGTCTGTGTCTGTCTGTCGGTCAGCTAGCTGGCTAGCCAACTAAATCAGTCACTTAGTCAGTCAGCCAACCAGCTCGACAGTCAATTAATGGTGGTTATATAATATTCAAAAGAACATTTGGAACAACATCTAAAACATCACACAAGAAAAATGATGAATTCTCCATTCTTACCTCTGCCACACATCTGGGGCATCTCCAGTCTCCCCGTGGAACAGATGTCAAGGGCGGGATAAGACAATATGTGTGGTAGCTGTCATCACAGCCATCACAGAGCAACATGCTTTCTTCAGAATCACCTCGACTGCATACTTGACAAAGGTACTCATCAGGCTAGACAAACAGAAAAATTTTATATGACTACATCATTGCTGAGTACAATTTGGGAAATTAACACACTTTTGTTACCAAAATTAACAATATTCAAGGCTTCATATTTTGCATCATTGTTAAATGTGCCAGCCAGTCATGCAAACCATTTAAGTCCTCAAGCCAGAAAAAATTTCAACTACATGCATGACCTAATTATTTAGAATCAGCAGTTTGTGAAATAACTGGAGAAATCAATATGCAGTATTTAGTTTTAAATAGGTGAAGAATGCATTGATTGTGTACTCCAGTTAAAGTGATGGAGAAAAATCTTAAGATATCCAAAAGCTAAATTTTATCACTTTAGTACATGTAATCAGCCTATAGACAAATGAAAATGGTGACTTCAGAAACATTTGAATTCCAATGGCTGGGTTGTAGCTGAAAAAATTAGGTTAGTGGCTGAAATCTTAATTGAGGTGGCTCAAAGATTACAATGCTATTGAACAATTCTAAGTGCATAATCTCAGAGTTTCTTAATGTGCTTTCGAGCAATTCCAGCCAAAAATCCAGCCTGCAAATTTAGCAGGCAGCCAGTACTTAGCAACAACCCTGAAAGGGAGAAACACTCTAGTGTCCTAGCATTAAAAATTCTAAGTGTATTTTTACTCCCTAGTAGCAGCAACGCCTACCAAAAGAAGCTGAGAATTTGAATAAATGTTTTTCCTGCTGGCTTGTCTTACAGGTCTTCTCCTTGTCAACTCTGGTTCCTTCTGCATTAAATTTTCCAGTTTAACTTTAACACTTTGTTTCTGTCTTGCCACTCTTTGTTTACCAGGGGATGGTGTAGAATCACCATTCATCTTTGTTTTACGAGGAGATGGTTCTGTTTTCTCTTTCTCTCTCTCCTTCTCTTCCCTACTGCTTGTGATCTCAATCATCACTGGGCTGTCTAAAAGTCCTGAGAGTTGAAAAAATTATGTTTGTAAGTGACTGCTATAAATATGAAATAGCAGTAGTGAATTCTCTACAAAGTTTCTCAAACTACAGTTCAAGCAGCTAAGGTTGATTTGTGTAATTGTTTATCCCAGTAACACATGTGAGAGGGATCATAACTGTGTTACAACAATAGAAACAAAAGTGACTCATTACTATTAAGCTCTTGAATGATGTTTCCAAAGGGTCTTGATATCAGCAGGCAAGTCAAGAATTTAAAGAAAGCAACAACACTTTTGAGTTTGTAAGACATGTTTTGAAAGAAACGTCTGTCATCTTCAGTTGACAGACTGAAGTCAAGTCAAGTCAAGAATTTAAAGAAAGCAACAACACTTTTGAGTTTGTAAGACATGTTTCGACAGAAACGTCTGTCATCTTCAGTTGACAAACTGAAGTCAAGTCAAGTCAAGAATTTAAAGAAAGCGACAACACTTTTGAGTTTGTAAGACATGATTCGACAGGAATGTCTGTCATCTCCAGTTGACAGACTGAATTAAAGTCAGTAAGCTCTTGAAAATTTCAAAGGTTCTATGTAACACTTAATTACAGCTAGCTTGTAGAGAGCTATACTGTGTTTTAATTTGTAAAATCACAGCTGCATAGCTTTATACAATGTGTAAGATGCCTCTCCACTCCAATGAACTTTAATCTTGTATGAAGAATCTCAGGGAACAAGCATGTTAATGTGGAGGATTCAAAAGGTGCCTTTCTGAGTTGTGAATGGCAGATTGCAATTTTTTGCTTGAAATAGCTTGTTGGACTTTGAACTTCAAAGTCAACAAGGCCAAATTGATAGTTACATAATTATATAAAAAGTCCATGCAAAATTTCCTACAAGTTTGAAGATTTTATACTAAGGCATTTGGCTAGATACACACCTTCTTTTATATTCACTTCTTGTTTTGGTAACAAGGTTCCCTTTGTTACACCAGCCATTTTGGGCCCTGGAGCAAGAAACTGCAGTTTCTTTAGCTCAGGGTTGTTTTCAAAGTCTACTGAATCAAGCTTTAAACACCAAAGTGAAACAGAATAAATCAGTGATTAGAAAGTGATGGCAAGAAGAACATTCAAGTCAGTATAAACATGGAAGCCTCAGGAACTTTTCACTGTAAGGCTTTAAATTCAACTCTTTTAGAATTTGCCAACTGAATTACAGAAATATCTGATGAAAATGTTCATCTTATCTGTAGGAGTGTCTAGCTTCTAATTTTTCCTTACAATATCACCCCCAAATCACATGCTACGGTCACAAGAATAAAGAAAATGATTGGCAATTTAAGATTAGCTTTGATTGCTAAACAGATTACCCTTGTCAGTGTCGAAGGAGATGTAGAGAGAATGTTGATACTGATGTTGGGGTGTAAAGGGTTCTGTAAATAAAAAAGTCACAGCTTAATGCCTAACCACTGAACACCAGTTGATTTGAATGAAATTTGGTGACTTTGTGGCCAAAACATTTCCCCACTTGCCATGGCCACCAAATTAGTAGTGACTTGACTACAAGCACTACCATGACAGCTATAAACAACATGGGTTGAGATCTAAGTAAAACATACAGCTAACACACCTCTTCAGCTTTTACAACTTTCTTTGATCTCCGGGACATTTGGTAGTTAGTATTAACAACACCACCATTTGGAGCAAATTCTTTGTCTTTCTCATCTTTCTTGGCATCAGCACTCTATACGAGAGAAAAGGGTGTGTTGACAAAAATATTTAAAACAATGGCACCATTCTTTTATTGCCTTAAGTTGAAGCACATTTACTAAAAAAAGGACCAATTAATTACTGCAAGACTTTTGTTCACATTAACCACTCATCAGTCCCAAAAATAACTAGATTCAAAGAATGGTGGTATTTTACACAGCACAAGACAACAATAAATAAAACAAATGAAACCTGAAACGCACAGACAGACAAACAAACCACTCAGACAGAGTCACAGACAAACAGAAACACAATTGTTCACTTCAAAATTAAAATAAATAATTAGTGACAACAATCAATGTAAAGTATGTCATTGACATGTTTTCAACAGTCTACAAGAGGGATAACTCTTGATAAAACCAAACAACTAATAGGTTGTTAGAAAAAACCCATAATCTTAATTCAGCAGTATGTGTTACACGACTTCCATCCTTAAAGGATCTTTTATAAACTTTTAACCCTTAAGAGTGATAAGCAGAGAGTTTCTCCTTAAAGTAATACACTGAAATTTAACATTAAGGTCATGAGAATGAAGGAATTTATCACAAACTTAAGAGGCTCTTGATTGTTAGACAAATTCTCCTTCTATGCAACATAGGAAATGTATGGAAAACAGTATGGAGAACTTGTAAACTAATCTTAGGGTGTAAGGGTTAATCTTGCTTCTTCTTCTAATCCAGTTTTTAATTGGGTTTTCTTTTAAGAGATCTCACAGCTGCAACTTCCAAATATAGACATGTATACTGTATATATCTCAGAGAGACAGAAAAGCCAAGAATATCATGCAAGATCAGTGATCTCCCTTATTTTACAAACACATGAAACAAATTTTCAAACCAGTAGGGCAATATCTTTTATCTACCTGATAATTTTAAAGAATTCCAAGCTATTTTAGTTACCCCATCAAAGGAGAACACTACAATATGTCCCAAAAGATGGTGAAAAGAGAGATTGACGAGTACCAGCAGAGATTCAGAAGCTCAGGGCTGGAGCAGCCATGCTTTTAACCCTTTCACTCCCACAAGTGACCAAGACAGAATTTCTCCTTACAATATCAATACAATATCAAGCAGGCAGGTGATGAGAATAGAGAAGAATATCAATTATGGGATTAATAGTTGATCCAATACCAAATTCTCTGAACTAACATCAGAAGAATTGTATGGCAGATAGCAAGGAGAATTACTAATTAGATCTTGGGAGTGAAAGGGTTAAAGGGCAGAGAAGCCTAAAGCCAAAGGGACCTTGGCCCTATTTCCACAGGGGACAGAATGGAATGATGATGATGATGATGATGTATTGCTCCAGTAAATGAAAAACTTAACTGACCCCTGGCTGAGGATCCCCAGTGAATGCTCCTGCTTGAAAAATATCATATGGGTAAAGGTACTTTTCATAATTCATCCTCAGTAGAGATGGAGCTGACTTTCCAAGGAGATAACCCATCTGTGGAAACAATCAACAACAGCTTATCAATAAAATTTCAATAAAACTGCCCGAGTTGCTCATGGAAAAGAAGACATCATCCCTATCTTACTTCCTATCTCACCAATAAATTACAGCCTTCCTGCAAATAATCACCTTTTTCTTTCAGTAATACTGTAATACTGATATTTCTTAGTAGGCTTTCGTAAAAATGCTCTCCACAATTACAATAGAATTCTTTGAACAAACAGCTTGTAAGGCATACCATCTTGGGCTCATGTCCATAGAGGGAAAACAAATCAGTAAGCATACCTTTCTTGCCACAACAGACCACTTTTTCTTCCTTGTAACATATTCAAATCCTCCCTCTTCACTTACAGTCTACAAAAGAAAGTTTTCTTCAACACTCAAACAGACAATAAACTATTGGGTCTGATTCCTTAAAATAAAGTTTAGCCATTGTATAACAAAACTGTGTCCTAAACAATCCTCAAATAAACTGAACCCTTTACCTAAACATTTATATTTATGAACAGTGGAAGGACTTATTTATTGGAATCAACCCACTTAGAGAGAAAGCCTGAGGCTCACTGATTGTGGAAGACCATGGTTTAGGTTAGCCTTCCTGTAAATAACCAGTCCTTAATAGTTCAGTATCATTTATTTACAGTACCCTTTACTCTCATATGAGCAAACAGTCTTTGTTACATTGGATGTTCAGTTGCCCATATTAGACAAACTCAAGAAATGCATGGATCAAAGTGACTTTACATGCATTATCAACTTCTCCCTGTGTATCACAAGGCAAACCAAGGTAATTTGAGTGGAGAATTTAGCAGTCTATCAGAACTTGCTTCAGATTTTTCCACTGCATGTATAGATAATACAAAAGAAACTATATTCTGAAAATGTTCACATGTTTGAATACATTTTCGATAATGATTCAGTACATTATCTAAACACATCCCATGGTATGATCACAGGCAACAAATGGTCAACCCAGAGCATATTCAATTCTAGCCACTTGTACAACCATTACTAACCAGGAAATAACCTGCTTATAAGACCAGTCTAAACATCAGTTCTGACAACAACATTTGTGTTTAAATAATAGCGAAAACAAAGTTGATTTGATCAAAGTGTTTGGGTCAATAAAATACATCTAAACATTTGATTTCTGGACAAAATGAATAACAGATAAGGTGACTGTTGATACACTTTCCATTGTACCAAACAATTTGATTCACACCAAATAATATAGCAAACACTCCTTAAGTGATTAAAAATGTTTGCTAAAGAAGAGAAAGCAGACATAGTAATATCACAAGAAATTTTCCATCAAAATCCAAGAAAATCAAAATCCATTTCCATTTTGGTCATTTCAAATCTTTCAGCATAATTTGTATAAAAATATTACCTATCATCCTCACATGCAGCAAAGCAATTATATTAAAACACAACCATAGGATGTTGATCAAAACAGTTAGCTCATTGACACACTTAACAAAAAGAAGCACTCTTAGACCAAGGCATGGTTTCAGGTTTTGAAGACAGTGTCACACAAAAACAGTTAAACAAGGAGTTGGCAAAGGTGCAAAGATTTCCCTTTGACTGATAGGAATCAGTGAGTTTCTTGATCAAGAACATTTCAAAACTGCATTAGAATTACCTAACAATCCATAAATGGTTTTAACACAAAGTGATTTCTATAATTGTGATATAATTGAAAGAGCTGGATGAGAATTTATAGCAAAAAACTATGCATTTGTCATTAACAATGCTTTTAGTTTCCAGTTGTTGTTTGGTATGATAACTTCCTTTCTTCCAGTCTCAACCCAACTGAAAATGGATCTCTTTAAAACTCTGATTGCCTGACCAACATGCTACAAACTCTGCTTAATCCCCTTCAACGAATATTCACTGATGACAAATGTTATGTCATCCTAAATACGTAAACAAGCTGAAAACATTTCACTAAAACCAAATATTTCCTTGTGATGAAGGAACAATATGGCCAACTAGAAATTACCAACATATGGTCATGATTTTAAGCAGAAATGCTTGAAATTTTCTGAGAAGTGTTGTAGAACACACCCTTCCGTAGTTGGTACCTGGCTTTAAAACATGGCTACCAAAGGGATCGCTATCTTGCGTTTCGTGATGAAACAAAGAAATTTGATAAGAAGACTGGAAATTATGAAAGATTTACTAAGGCAAAGGAGACCAAGAAGTCTATACCCCCATTTAACGAATTATCGCTGAGATCGTCTTTCCTGGTCATGAAGGGTACAAACTTCCTGGAACAAGCCGAGCGGTGCTTGAGTGATCTAAACTTTTAAGGAGATGTAATAATTAAGGCTCCACGTTGCTTACACAGCAACTGGTTCATCAAAGACTTCGTAACGAAATATCTCCCCTAGTTTATTTACCTTATGAAGACGAAAGAGATCCAAACTTTTCCTTTCAACCGTTGGTATCTTAAAAGTTGTGCCCTACAAAACGAATCATTAAAATGGAGGAACCAGTTAGAGCGCTGAAAATTTGTTAAGAATAAGAGATGAGTTGTAAACATGGCTGCCATCGATCTTAAGGTTTCAAAGTTATGAATTTCTCATATACAAGATGGGTAACTCGTGATATATATTTACCTGAAGTTCCCAGAATTTCGCGAGGCTATCCAAAAAGTTTAGTTTCACCCTTGTTCTCGCCTATATAAACAAAGTATCAGCTATAAACGATGATCGGTTTGGGAAAAAAAAGAAAATTGTGATGGGAGGGACACATGGTTGATTACAGCCTATAGTATAAGATTATTGATAAAACTCCGATCTTCATCAAAGAAAAGAACGTGCATCAACTTTTTCAGATGGAGCAGAATGTACAAATGAAGAATAGAGGCTACTTTATGGGTCGTTATGAGTGAAATAAAACGTTTTGTTACAAATAATATCCAGTGGATTTCTTGAAAAAGACGAACAACTATGTGTTACCTCAAGTTCATTGAGACGCTGAACCCTCGGCGTAAATCTAAAAGTTTCCACATCTACTGAAAACGGAGGCTGCCATTCCTACAATTAAACATTGAAATTTGTTTTAAGTCCTCTCTTTCCCGAAATAATGCCTTCACCTGAGATAAATAAAACTTGGTAATCGAAAAAAGAATATTTCTAACCGGGGGAGGCCGGACTTTGCAGATGCCAGTTCTCTCCGCGTAAGGCCTTATCTTTGCAATATACGCCAAAGGGTCCTGGAATTCCTCTTCAGTTGGTTCGAAAACTGGGGCCTCTGGAGGTGGAGTGAAAACGAACTCTTCCCCTTCTTCCTCCATGGCTGTTGTTGAGTCAGGACAGGACCAGCCATTTCAAAACAAAGGACTCACATTTCTTACAAACCAACGCCATTTTTAAAATCGACTAATCATCTCATCTGACTGACGGCTACTGTGTCGTTATATAATCAAAGTCACATGACCAACTTTCCTAGTTGTGATTGGCTCTGTGGTTTTTTATGACGTTGAGTTCCGTTGAAATGGAACGGGATCCGACACATAAAAAACTCAAATTAACGTTAGTAAACAAAACATTTATGTAACAGGAATATTTTCTATAGACACAACTAAAGCCATATGGGAATTTTATTAATCAGCTGTGGTTTAACGTTTCTGTTAATCAAGGAGAAGGGTAATTTTCGTGACCTCCCTGTGAAAACGCACGTTTCCTGTCAATGATATAACTTGAATACTAATTTCACGTGATTCATGTTGCCACAAGTTTCAGGTCAGTTTATGCTCGATTTGATCACGGGAATAATAATGATAATGATGATAATGATAATGATGATGATAATGATAATAGGAATAATAATAATAATAATAATAATAATAATAATAAAAACAATAATGATAAAAAGAACACCAGCCAACTGACTGTGATTGAAGTTATAATAATAATAATAATAATAATAATATTAATAATAATAATAATAATAATAATAATAATAATAGTTAGAACTCGAGTGGTGTACAGATCAAACAATTAGATATTCATAAATGACGAGTTTCGGAAATGCACGCCACCTGTAGTTCTCAGCCTAATTAACAAACAAGTCTAAAACTTAACTAAACTTTCCCACTCTTGCTCAACAACGTAAAATTTTACTAGATTCACTGACCTCATTTCTGAATATTGGACAAGTTCTTGTAACTCGTATGACAAACGTGACTCTGGACGAAAAGTTCTCAAGGTTGTGTCTATCATCATCACAGCCAGCGCATAAGAGAGCGTCTTGTTCCTGTTTTAATTTACTATCATAACTCTTCACAATTTTTTCATCTAAATAATATTCAGTTTATTTTTCTTCACAATTTTTTGTTCTTTTTCTCTTCTCTCTTCTTCTTTCTGTTTTTATTTTTCTTTCTCTTCTATTCAACTTTCAAAGGATCTTTAAACGCCTTACTCAGCGCGGAAGCACCCATACCGGAAATAGCCGTTTACAGGGCTCCTGTTGTTTAGAGGAAAGTGGAGGAGGCAGCTGTGTTCGATGTGGTACAAAGCTACTGAATTGAGAACAACTAAAAATTATTACCTATCCTGAAGGCTTTCCATGGTGTTTGCGTTCAAGCCAGACAACATCTCTTTTCATCAACAGTTTCATTTTCTCAGTATTTCCTGTTTTTTCGCTTTTTTTTTTTGTTTTTCATGAATTTTCTTTTCATTTTTGCGCCCGTCATAGTCAAAATCAGCGGTTTTCCAGTTGAAAGTTCGTTTTCCGCCAGTTTTAAAATGGCGACCAACTCACCGGAAACTAACAAGCGACGGGAATCTCCTTTGCCAACGGTAAACGAAAGGTTGGGGCATCTAAAGCCTTCCAGAGAGCTACTAGAATACTACAGAAGAAAAATTGCAGAATACGATGGTGAATATGAAGAGATGGTGAGGAAACTGGAACTGTATAAGTGCACGTATGAAGAACAGGTAAAATGAAGTTGTGTTGTTGTTGAGGCAAAGAGATCACTGATCTTAATCAATATATCGATAGACGCCGATTTTTTTTTAATTTCCGTAGCATAAGACGCAGTGGGAACTACGACAACGTGAAGAAGAGATAGCCGAGTTGCAAAAGGCGCTTAGCGACATGCAAGTTTACTTATTCCAAGAAAGAGAACATGTCTTACGGTTGTACGCCGAAAACGACCGCCTGAAAATTCGCGAGCTCGAAGATCGCAAAAAGATACAGCATTTATTGAGCCTGTCAAAGGCGACTGTACCTGAAATTACTTACTTTCATCACCAGCCACCAGCGAAGGCTATTGTCGCGCAACATAAACCGAGAGACAAAGAGAGCGGGAGAAGGCCACTCCCCGGACGTGGCCCCGGGGGACATAAAAGAGGTAATAATGAGATATTTCCTTATCTAGTCCATTTCTGTTGTAGAGATTTCAATGAAAGAAGGTTACTCGTAGTCTGTCACTTTCTACAACGCTTCTTGCTACCACATGTTTAAGATTTGTATGGCCCTCTTGAATTGTCCGAGAAATTTTAGGAAGAGGATGGTGCTTCTTCCTTAGATCTTTTCTAAGTAAATTGAAGGATTTTCTTCAGGAAAGGTTCATTTTTGGGTCAAAGTAGTCTTTCCCATCATCACAAGCCACTCTTAGGAGAAAAAAAAGAGAATTCCCTCAAGAATTGTCATAGGAGAATTTGGATCAGGATCACTTGTTGATATATTTGGTTATTCACTTGGCTGTCTTATTTTAGACTCCACTGGAAATTATCGTCCAGCCAGAAGTACCGCTGAAGCTGATGACAACCAGACCCTTTTGCTTCAAATAGAATCCTTGCAAGCTCAACTTGAGGAACAGACAAAGCTAGCAAAGGAACAGGTGGATGCCTTGTTAGAAGATCGCCGAGTACATATGGAAGAACAACAGGCACAGAGGGAGAGAGATGCAGACAAAATCAAAACAATGCAGGAAAAGTTGCGGAAAACACAGGATCTTCTTTATGATAGTACTAAGGATTTCCTAGAGCTGAAATATGAAATAAGAGCCAAGGAGAGACACTGGATGGTTGATAGAGACAGATTAGCTCAGGAGATTGACCACCTGAGAGAACAACTTGATGTGAGTGGTGTTAGTGTGTTAGAAGTATCAGGAGAGGTAATGGAGCCACGTCAAGCGCAATTGGTTGCAGTCCAGTCACTAAGACATCAACTTGAACAGACACAGAAACTTGCAGAAATGTATAGGGAGCAATGTATAGGCCTTGAAGATGAGTTAGCAAGAATACGAGAGAAGACTGATGTTAGTGAAGACATTTTCAAGGAGCGCTCTGAGAAAATGAGCAAGAGATTGGCATTGATGAATTCCAGATATGAAAACCTTGAGAAAAGAAGAGCCATGGAGGTTGAAGGGTTCAAAACTGATATTAAAATGCTACGAGACAAGCTGAAGAATGTTGAGAAGCAGCTTTATAAGGTAAGAAAAAATGTTTTACCATTCATTGTAAAGTGTGATTGGACATCGCTGGAAATCTTGCTATATAAAATGCCAAACTGTGCTAAAAACAAAAGTAGGCACATGAGGAGCAGTCATGTGTATCTCTGACTTTTTACCACATTTTGATGTCATCTGTGCTCTATTACTGAACAGTCCCATGGCAACATAGAATCTATATATTTAACCCTTTGACTCTAAGATCAAATTTCTTATTCTCTTTACTGTCAACCATACAATTCTTATAATGTTACTTTGGAGAATTTAGTATTAGATCAACTAATTATTCCCAAATTGATATTTTTCTTTACTCTCATCACTTATCTGGTTGATATTGTATTGGTATTGTAAGGAGAAATTCTGTCTTGGTCACTCATGGGAGCTAAAGGGTTAATATGATAATGGTGTTGTCATTTATGTGTTTTTCCTCTAAAAGATCATAAGTATTAATTAATCATAGCATAGCTCAGCTTATCATATGCTAGATCATGCAACTTAACAACCTGGGATGATTTTTCAAAAGCTGGGCTAAGCTCACCCAGGGTTGGTGTGAAATTTTATTCCAGGTCTGAAGGCTTAAAAGAAAATCCATTTTAAATCTTTCTGCAATTTGAAGATTGGATGTTCCAAACAGAACTGGGGAAATTTTCCCTAAAAGGCTCTTGAACAGAGAAATACAGAAATCTGGACTCAAATTTAACCCTGTGTTAGTGCTAATCAGCCTCCGAACAATTAGGACCTGTGCCTTAGACTTGAGTTCTGTTGTTAACATTAAACCATTTTGGTCTGTTCATCTCTAGGTTACAGTTTCCATGGGAGATGATTATGATGAACAAGTACTTAAAAATGTGCGAAAAACAGCAGGACGATCAAAGAAACTTGTTGGTGAACTTCACAATCTTAAAGCTAAGATTTATTCTTTGGAAAATGACATAAGGCATATGGGTTGAAAAGCATGAACAAGAGAAGAAAATTTTCCACTGTCTTGCCAAGTTTTATTTCCAGCTTCACATTTAGACACCATTTCATCAAGCATTTAGTAATCCATGTAATATATATATTTTAATATCTTTTGAATTAGTTTTTTTAGTATCAATGTTGCATTTTTTTAAAAGTATGAATTAAAAAAAAAACTGTTGTTGTAGAATATTGTCTCACTAATTGGAGGCTCAGATACTCTCTATGTTAATGACCCAACAACTTCCAAGATCCAATTAGTATTTCTTGTTACTTATTGCTATACTTTTCCTTGTAACTTAGACAAGAGAATTTGGTCTTATTTCAAACACTGCTGATACCCTTTTGCTTATAAGCTTGTTGGTTCTTATAACCTGTTTACAAGAGAACTTGGTGGCATTTCAAGGAGAAGTTACAACTTACCGTAATCACTTCTAGGAATTAGAGGGTTACTGGTAAGAGTTCCAAAATTTAAATTAAGCAGAAAAAATTATCAAGCTATTGGAAGACTTGACCCCCTCTATCAATTCCAGCCTTCACCCACCCACACAGTCACACACGCACACATGCACACACTCAAGAAAGGGAGAGGGGAAGGGGTTAGGGAAGGGGGGGTGTAAACTTGTTTCCTTTATGGCAGCTGGTAATGGAACTTAGGTTGTGATAAGGAGCTGAACTCACCTCATTAACACATTTGGTTTATAGGGTCAATTTGGCAGGCCATATTTCACTGTGCTGCCAGCTAAATTTAAAAGTTTGTTTGCAATCTTCCCTCTCTATTTGAACCCAGAGATATAATAAATATCTGATCTCTTCTTGATCAGTACTTGGGTTAGAAAACCTCATTTTTTCCACTTGCATTTGGCCTTTTTTTGTTTCAACCACAGGGCAAGTGGAAAAAAACTTGGTTTGTAATTTACACTAATAGTATGGACTTTAAACTCAGTTACTATGACATATATCTACAACAACATGGTGTAGTTTAAAAACATTTAATGAGTTCGTGACCCTAATTTACTCCTCAAACTAAAATAGAACAAGCAAATTATTATACTTTCAATAGGCCTTGTCCTGATATTATAATTATAAAGAGAATCAGAGTAATCCTTATTCAATTATGTACACACTCAAAATAGTACATCTATGCAAAAATAGATTGCTCTTGACAACCAAAAATTTTCAATATATAATCCTCTCTACAATCTATTGTGACCTATTGTGAGAGTTTACAAACTGAGAACTCAAATTAATGTCAGGTTTAACACCTATAGTAGTTAATAGGTTCAGAAAATGAAAAAAAAAATGCCCATATTTCTCCCTTCACCAAGGATTCCCAGTCTGTAATTAGAGGAAACCTACAAAAATTGAAAAGAATACTAATTGTCTCACTCCCAAGTGTGACAAAGACTTAATTCCTTAATACTGATACAGTATTAAGCAGACAGATGTTGAGAATAAAGAAAAATATCAACAAGATAATTATTTAATTTTACCCCAAATTCTTAGAGCAAAAATTACTAGCAATGTTTGACAGACATGAAGCAGAATTATTGAGATCTTGGGACTGAAAGGGTCAATGATTACGTACATAAATTTGCTGCGAATTTTTAATTAAAGGATAACTATGTTCTTAATAAATTCACAACACTCCACTTTTTGCATTGTCATCTAACCGATCACTGCCACTGTTTTAACACTGTAACTCTAGGGTGATTTTCCTTTGCTGTAGAACACATTTGTCTTATTACTTCTAATCACGTAAAAATATCTTAAATGAGTGGAGTCATATCTGTAAGAATGTGCGATGACAGCTGAATAAGGTCATAATAAGCAGACAATATCAATGCTTACTGGTAACACCACAGCATGAATGTTAGGCATTTTGCTTTCAATAATATTTTCTTGTTTTGTTTGTTGTTGTTTTTTTTTTTTAAGGGGTAATATTTATTTAGTCTCCTTTGCAGCCTTTGTTGACTTTTTAGACTAAAGAAATTAAATGAATACATCTTGGAGTAACCAAAGTTTGAAAATTATCACTGGAGTCTCTAGTTGAAATTACTCCTTAACAGATCTGCCACTGTTGACTTGTCTTTCTACCAAGGTAGTGTACACACCTGTTGTGTAGAATACTTCTTTTCATGTTAATGGAACAATATTCACCACCAACATTCAATTTTAAGACTACAACCAGCCAGAGTGGATGATCAAATATTCTGACATGATCACTTCATTAACTGTCAAACTTAGAAAACCACAAAAGACCTACCCTGCATATTTGAGTATTTGGGTAGCCTGTGGGCAGGCAGTCAATAGTTCACAACAGGATGCAGGTTTCTCTCCCCACGGAAAGATAAGATGAGTCATGGAGAGGTTTGCTGTAAGTCTGGCACTATCATTACTAGAGCTCTTGCAGACCTCTTGCTAGCTTATGTTGCTCAAGCCTTCCTACTTTTCCATGGGCAAAGAGACACTGATGCTGAAGTGAAGTATAATTATAGTAATGGTCTGTACACAGGCTAGATTTTGGGTACCCTGTTGATCTTCGATATCTGGACTCACCAGCAAATTGCCAAACCACACACTTATTTCTGTTGCAAGACACAGACAGTTTAGCTGCTTTGGGCCTGACTGTCTTCTTTCCCTAACGCCACAACAATCCAGCAGTATTTCCAGTGTTCACAGTTTTCTGAGTTTGACAGTATAGGATTCTCTATCGTACTGTTCTAACAGACATTTCATTGAATAATGAGCTATACCAAATAAGTTATAAAAATATAGCAAGTTTATATGAATTTCCTTCCTCTAAAATAGTAATTTTCAGGCAAGGGATAGTTAAGACTTCTGATCTGTCATTTACCACAGACTGTGCCATCTCTGGCAAATGGACATCTTTCACTATTCTAGTGATATATTTCCCTGGATAAAGTATCAAGATCTATGAAAAATGAATGAGGGTGATGAGTGAATGGGAAATTGGGTATTAATGTCATATGGGAGTCGAACAGTTTCTAGCGGGCATAGACACAGGGCTCATTTTTGGCGAGGGCCTTCCAACACTTTTGCTGTTGTATCTGGAGCGCCATTTACCAAACAATCCTTTTCTGTTAAGAGTTGAATTTGAGCCATGAAGATCGTCGGACATTGTCTGATCAGAACCCTACAGAACAGAAAAAGAGGGAAAGAAACAGATGAAGTGCTGTGTCTTTCACACCTGACATGAATGAAATATAAGCTGTAAATTTTGTTTTTCTCAACCCCAATCCCAAAAAGTTCATAACCCAAGTCATGCTACTGAAGACCCTGGCTTGTTCTTTCAAATGGCATCTCAGAGTTAGGTTTGTCACAGGAAAAGCTGACCAAAAAAAAAAAAATTTTGCGAATCAATCAAGACATTTTGAATGACATAAAAAGATAAAAAATAAAAAGAAAGTATACATTAGATTAGAGTAATTAAAGTCACCTTGCGTCAACGCCTAGTTATAGTTAGTTATAAAGCTTGCTATGCAATTAAGATGACTCAAAATTGCTTCCGTTAACATCAAATTATAAACTAAAAATTCCACCAGAAACTTTTAATTAATGATTAGTTTCTCTTCTATACTCACTGATAGAACTAAGAATTCTAGACTTGCTGTCTCTGGATTGGGATTTTTTTCTCTTTCCTTTCTCTCGTTTGCTCTTGGCATCTTTTCTGGCCTTTTCTGGATTAAGCTCCACAAAGTACTGTTTTTTTTTTTATTATAAGGAATTAGCAGCTGGTTAGCACTATCATAAGAATAAATCATCACTATTATGTTAAACTATCAAAATATCTTTTATCAAATAAATGATAACCTTCAATTTTTAACGTTAGTGTTATAAAATAAAAATGATAAAAGCTGCAGAACTCTATCACAGCACCAGGAAGAGATTAAAAAAAAGAGAAAAAAAGGGCTTGACGCTTAAAAATTTCAATTGCAAACACCAGGCTCTTGTTTCTTTTTTCTTTCTTTTTTTTTTTTGGGG